AAGAGGTGCTTTGTTCCAGTCTCCTTTGGGCAAAATTGGATTGCATATGGGCCCCCTGCACCTGTCAAAGCTCACACACCTCACAACAGTGATGCAGCTGAGGACAGGGACTCATGTGACAGAGCTAGAAGGGTATAGAGAATAAGCAGTTTTAGTCTGAGCACTAAAACCCAGGAAGACAGCAATGTCCCAGTGGTTCCTTTACAGAAACAAGCAGTAATGGGAAGAGGGAGTCAGGACACTGCCACAGCATCCACATGGCCCCAGGGTGTGCCCAGCCCAGGGCCATCACAGCCAAGGGCCTGGAAACCAACAGGGACCAACGGTGCTGATGTCAATGTGAGCACCTTGGAGCTACCCAAACCAGCTGTGAGGTCTGAGGCCCACAGGTGACACAACTTGAAAGAGGTAGTAGAAACAGACTACAATTCAGAACTCTTGACTCATGGCACAGTGCTCATCCTCAGAGCCACAGAGGTGGGCCAGAAGCTCCTCCAGTTTCAGGTCAGCCCTGGCAGTTATGTCCTTGACATCGTTAGTATGCCCATGACCAAAATGTAGTTGGGCAGTCTCTTTAGTGCTCTGCCCCAAGCCCCTCCTCCCAGACCACTGTCTTTCCTCTAATGATCCCAGTAGAGCTGTAAATAAGCCATTCCCATCTGTTCATTCCTCATTCCTTTACCTTCTGACTCCCATTCCCACATACATAGATAATTCTGGATTTGTTCTTTTTCTTCTCCAACAAGTTCCTTGCTTGCTTTTATTTGTCTTGATGATGCTTAATCCCCTTCCCTAATATTAAAAGGCTTTCCCTCCATTATTCTAGTAGATGCTATAAAAAGGTAGGGTCATTCTTCACTATCCAATGTTCATCTTCAGGCCAAGATCACCCTGATCATAAAGTGAATGTATGTGGTAGACAGCAAGATGCCCACATCATAATCCCCAGGGCCTGCGGATATTCAAGATTACATGGCAAAGGCGATTAAGATTACAGATGGATTTGAGACTATGAACAACTGAACAACCTTAGCATAGAGATTCCTGGATTACCCAGGGGGCCCAATATAATCAAAAGTGTCATAAGGGTAGAAAAGGAAGGTAGAAAAGGTCAGAATGATATCATGTGAAAGTCACTCAACCAACTCTTGCTGGCTTTGAAGATCGAAGGGGCCATGAGTGAAGGCAGCCTGGAACATCTGGGAAAGCAGAACTGCCTTCTACCCTGGCGCCTCCAAGGACACACCCCTACAGTCGTCTTGTTGCTGAAAGCTCCTTTCTAATCCCCAATGCCAATCCAATTACGAGGACACAGTTTTGAGAAAAAGGAAAAAAGAAAGTTTATTGCTTTTCTACAAAGGAGAAACACAGGGGACTTCTATCCCTGAGGCTGTGATTCTGCCCATCAATAGGAACAGGGGGCTTTTAAAGAGGTGGCTGAAAGGTTACGTTCCATGTGTTCTCTGTCTGGAATTGTAATTCACTTGTTAATTTGGGGGACAGTCATTTCTAAGATCTTCTAGTACCTTCCTCAAAGTCTGGATTACTTCATTCCCATGGTAGATGTGCACTCAAGGAGAGATAAATCTGCTTAGGATGGGGAAAAAAGGCAATCCTGTCTCCCCTAAGATTAGAGAGGAGCAGGGAGAGAGGAAGAGAAAGAAACATGTCCATTTTAAAAATAAATTGCAAACCAGGTGTGGTGGTGCATGCCTATAAACCCAGGGGCTCAGGAGGCTGAGGCAAGAGGATTGAGAGTTCAAAGCCAGCCTCAGAATGGCAAGGAGCTAAGCAACTCAGTGAGACCCTGTCTCTAAATAAAACACAAAAAAAGGACTGGGATATGGCTCAGCAGTCGAGTACCCCTGAGTTTAATCCCCAGTTCAAAAAAAAAAAAAAAACAAGTTGCAGTGTCAGAGCAGCAAGGGCTATATTTAAAACATAAAGAGGACCACTGTTACAACTTCTACTTTAGTCAAAGGAAATTTGACCCAGACTTCTGTCCTCCAGAATCCTAAAATGATAAATTTGTGTTGTTTTAAGCACTAGCTTTGTGACAGTTACAGAAGTAAGGCGAAACTAATGCAATGGGCATGTTACTGAAAGCCTGATCCTTGTTCCCAATGCCAATTCATGCCAATTTAATAATGAGGATATGATTTTGAGTAAAAGGAAAAGGAAGGTTTATTGCTTTGCTAGCAAAGAAGAAACACGGGGAGACTCCAGTCCCAGTGGCTGTGGTTCTGCCAGCAGGGAAAACAGAGAGCTTTTAAAGAAGCTCTTCCAAGAATTAAAACCAAGAATCAACAAATGGGATGTATTCAAACTAAAAAATTTTTTCTCAGCAAAAGAAATAATATGTGAGGTGAATAGGAAGCCTACATCCTGGGAACAATTTTTTACCCCTTACACATCAGATAGAGCTCTAATCTCTAGGGTATATAAAGAGCTGAACAAGATCAGCACCAAAAAAAAA